AACTATCAGTGGCAGTGAAAAATATAATATCGTTGCCCCAGTCCCAAATAGAGTTGCTCAGACCGTCCGGCACAGTGCCGTTTTTTACTGTCAGTGCTGCTTCAGTGTTCGTTCCGTAATTTTTTTATACAGTCTAAAAACTGCTACTGAAAAGTGTTTTCAAACAAAATTTGTGTAAGTATACGCATATGATGTTCAAGACTGGATTTTTGAACATGAGATGTTTAAAATATACACATGAATTGTTTAAAATTGCAAACGTTTTTAACGCAAAAATTTATTCCCTACTAAGGATAAAAATTAAGTACATTTTTGGTGTAATTTTGCTCTACGCGACAAATTTGGTACGCAAAAGTAAACAGGCAGTGTTTAATTTTATTAACTCGGTGTCTACATTTGTGCACATTAGGAGAATAAACTGGTAACCTCTCTAATATGCGTTAATTTAAACAAACAACTTTTAGATCAAATTTTAAACATTTGATGTGTAAACTGTGTAATTGTGAACACTAAGAAAATTCTATAGAAATTTTTGTAGTTTAGTTTAACTAATGATTTAACTATACTTTAAAATAGTTAAATTAACGGCCCTAAGGGCTAAATTCACAGTGCAGTACTGAAAATCTGTAGTTAATTGCCGATTCTGAGTATTTAAAATTCAACAAACAAATTTCAAATTTGTTCTACGCCACACATATGGTAAGCAAAAGTTAAAAAGCAGTATTTAAATTGATTAACAGGTTGTGCAAATTCGCATACATTAAGAGAGGAAACTGGTTACCTTTTTTAAATTGCTTAAATTTAAACAAAAATTTTTTAGAGTGTAGTTAACTCGGCAAAGATTTGTTTGTGTATTTCAGTGACGAGCTTGCAGTATTCTGTTGCAAATTTTGTTTGATATGGAGGGAAAATTAATCGAGTTGGTACGGAATTATCCGGAATTATATAATTTGGGACGACCGCTGTTAAGAAAACATTTTCTATATTTTTTTGCGATGTTGCTTTGACCAGGGCTTGAGCCCAGGTGCTGATGAGTGAAAGCGCGCACTGCTAACCACTACACCACAGCGGCCGACATTGCCAATTAAACATTAGTAAAATAAGTCTCCTTGGTTTCAATGAACTTCATTTTACTGAAAGTACCGGACAACATGCTACGACTGTGTGTGAATTGGTATCACTGATCGATGCTGATTGGCAATCAGCCAATCGATTACAACACATTATATGTAAATTACACGTACTAGGGTTACAATGGCCAGCCAGATGAATTATGGATACTAATAAAGGCAAAATTCTTCCCCTGAAGAGGTTTTCCCATTTGAGTTTCAATACGGTTTCTCCTTAACTTTGATGCAAAATTACTCACGAGGCGTCGCGAAGCACGCCGGGTAGTTGCTAGTTTTCTTATAAGTGGCTATTGCAATCATGGATTTTAAGTAAATTAGGTTCAGTAGTTACTGATTTATCCAAGTTTTTGTGTTTCTGTAAATTACCGTTATATGGAAAGTGGGCGTAGTTATTGCCCGGTTTCAGAGATTTTCAACTGCTGGACCCTTAGTAAAACTGGTACCGAGTTTGGTAAGGAAGAGTGGAGCGGCTACTTGATACGGAATTTCATCACGGCATCATTTCCAAAACTTTCATAATGATACTATTTTCTTTCGAAATTCTACTGCACATACTAATTACTAATAATAATAAAATAAATAATGAAAGTTAAGATCTATCTTTACAAATCAGTGCCGTATCAGTTCGGTATCATTGCCAATCAGCATCGATCAGTGATACCAATTCACACACATCCGTAGCATGTCGTCCGGTACTTTCAGTAAAATGAAGTTCATTGAAACCAAGAAGACTTATTTTACTAATGTTTATTTGGCAATTATTGCCAAATTATATAATTCTGGATAATTCCGTACCAACTCGATTAATTTTCCCTCCATATCAAACAAAACTTGCAATAGAATACCGTAATACGATGTTTCCACGCTTCGTAATTCGCTTTCTCATTCGTAATTCGCTCTCCCATTCGTCATTCGCCTTGCCAATTACCTTCCGAATTGCGTAATTCCCCATACAAAATTTTGAGAGCGAATTACCTCATTTGTAATAATTTAGATCAAATTACCATGCGAATGACGAACGCATCGGTGCCTTCTCTAATATTTATCGGAAATATATCGAAGTTTTCACCGGCCTGGTCCAATTTGCTGGGACATTTTATAGTTATAGAATAATATTAATAAAATATTCTCTATATAAATTAAAATTGTTGATGATAACTTAAATTTTAGCTCCATCTTCGATATTTGCAGTACACAAAAATAATAATAAATAGCGAAGAACAAGAACAAGAACTAGAGCTGCCAAACGAATTACCAATGTGTGACGAGAAAAAGGGTAATTCACGAATTACTTAGCGAATAACTTAGAGAGCGAATTACGAAGCGTGAAAACATTGTATAAGCTCGTCAGTGAAATTCACAAACAAATCTTTGCCGAGTTAACTCCACTCTAACAAATTTTTGTTTAAATTTAATAATATTAAAAAAGGTAACCAGTTCCTTCTCTTAATGTATGCAAATTTGCAAAACCTGTTAATCAATTTAAATACTGCTTTTTAACTTTTTTACTTACCATATTTGTGGCGTAGAACAAATTTGAAATTTGTTTGTTGAATTCTAAACACTTAAGGCCAAATTCACAGTGCGTAGTTAACTCAGAATCGGCAGTTAACTACAGATTTTCAGTACAGCACTGTGAATTCGGCCCTTAGGGCCGTTGATTTAACTATTACTACGTTTATACGTAAGCTATTTGCAAATAAAAATAATTTGCAAATACCTAACTCACTGTTTATTCGATGGTGAAAAAATCTTTTTTAATATTGCCCGATATAAAAAGGCAATAATATGACCATCGAAAAAGAAAATAAAGTTAAAAATGGCAACGTCTTGATTATAAAAAGGCAATAATATGACCATCGAAAAAGAAAATAAACCTGAGAATTGGCAGCGTCTTGCGCTTATTTGCCAATAGTACCACTAATCATAAACTACAAAAATTTTTATAGAATTTTCTTAGTGTTCACAATTACACAGTTTACACATCAAATGTTAAAAATTTTTTGTTTAAATTAACGCATATTAAGAGAGGTTACCAGTTTATTCTCCTAATGTGTGCAAATTTAGACACCGTGTTAATAAAATTAAACACTGCCTGTTTACTTTTGCGTACCAAATTTGTCGCGTAGAGCAAAATTACAAATAAAATGTACTTAATTTTTATTCTTAGTGGAGAATGTATTTTTGCGTTAAAAGCGTTTGCAATTTTAAGCAATTTATGTGTATATTTTAAACATCTCATGTTCAAAAATCCAGTCTTGAACATCCTATGCGTATACTTACGCAAATTTTGTTTGAAAATAAACACTTTTCAGTAGCAGTTTTACATGCAGTGTTTAGAGTGTACACTCTAAAAAGTGCATGTAAAACTACTACTGAAAAGTGTTTATTTTTCAACCAGAATCTGTTCAAGTATACGCACAAGATGTTCAAGATTTGGTTTTGAACATGAGTTGTTTAAAATATACTCATGAAATGTTTAAAATTACAAACATTTTGAATGTAAAAATATATTTTTTACAAATAATAAATACTAAGTGCCAGGGGCGCACGCAGGAATATATTTTTGGAGGGAAAGGGTTTATACTTCTAAATATATATCATCAGCAAATACTGAATATTCGCTCTTTAAAATACATTTATGAAAGTTTTATTTACAGTATGAAATAAATAAATAAACTTTTTAAAGTATCATCAATTGCATTTTATTTACATAAAATTTACAAAGAAGTCAGACTATTTAAAACCGGCTTCAAAAAAGGGGAGGTTATCAATTCTTCGGAGTATTTTTACTTTATTTTATGTTTGTAGGCTAGTCTGATCTTTTCAGTTCTGGTGCGAATAAAACTACTTTATTCCACTTTTCACCCGACGTTTCGCTAAAACTTTTTTAGCATCCTCAGGGGTAGTGTTTATTTTATCTGTTACAACAAATATACAAAAATACAGAAAAAAACACACACATTAAGTATTAACCGAAAAAACAAAAATGTATACATATATAACAACAAATTGAATTTAATGACAAACCAACTTACATTGTTTAGATATTCAAACATAAATATGTATATGTATAAATAATTAATCACTAAAAAAGAAAATATATCCATACCACTTGATGTGGTAGTTTTGTCAGTACTGAAAATTTCATTTTTGTAAACATGTTATGTATGCGGCCGCAATGTTGTCGGTATCTTCCTTCTTATTAATTGTCATTTCTCGTTTTTGCATAATTCTAAGGCTCTCTATTGTGTATCGAATCTGTTCTCTTCTTTCTTTGTCAATAATATTTGTGTTCCCGAAATCAGCTGTGTGTCCACTTGTTAAAATGTGCTGTGATAATGCTGTACTGCATTTCCGTTTTCTTCTGTCCGCTTCATGTTCGCCTAATCGAACACCTAAAGGCCGCTTCGTTGTCCCAATGTACACCTTTCCGCATGTTTCTGTTTCCTTCCCATTGCATTTAATTTCGTAGACTACGTTGTTTTGTTGGTGGACCTCCACTGGACACTTTGTTTTTGTATATATTCTCGAAAGTGTGTAATTAGATTTACATATATGCAAACGCTGTGTTTTGTGTTTTTGTTATGTTATGATCAAAATTATCGGTAAGATTGGGAATGTATGTAACACTGAAGAATTTCTTTGCGCTTTTTGTTGTTTCTGAGTCCGATTGTGTGTTAGGGTGGTTGCTATTTTTTATTATTTCCTGATTTATGAGTTCGTGTATTAATTTGACAGGATAATTATTGTTTTTTAGGATGTTGGTT